CGTTGCGGTCGCCTACCAACACGCGCAGGCTCACGTTGGCGCTGAGCGCGGGAGAGCCGTGGTCGCGAGCCTGAAGCGTCAGTTCAAAGGAACGCAGCTGCTCGTGGTCGAAGGCTCGCTGCGCGAACACCACGCCGCTCTTTTCGCTCACAGACACGTAGGATAACAATGCCCGAGGCTCTAGGTCGCTGGCTGCGATCGAGTAGGAGACTTGGCCATTGGACCCCAAATCTGGATCGGAGGCGCTAACTTGAGCGATGGAAGATCCTGGAGGGTTGTTTTCAGCCACGTGCACCATGTAGGAGGTCTGCTGAAAAACTGGAGCATTGTCGTTGACGTCGCCAATATGTAGGGTGATGCTTGTGCTGAAAGAAAGGGGTGGTTTGCCCTTGTCGGTAGCAGTGATGGTGACATTGTACTCTGGGGTCTTCTCCCGGTCCAGGGTCCCATCTGTTACAAGTTTGTAGTAATTCTTGGCGGAAGATTCAATTCTAAAAGGAAGTTTTTCTTTTATGAGGCATGTGACTTCCCCATTTTCTCCTGAATCTTTGTCATGTGTTTTGAACAGGGCAATCACGGTGCCTGGCTTTGTGTCCTCGGTTATGGAACTGGACACTGACGTAAAAACCACATCTGGAGCATTGTCATTCTCATCTAGAATTTCTAGTATAATTTTACATTCTGTGGCCATGCCTCCACCGTCCTTGGCTTCTATGCTTATGGTATAATGGCTACTGATTTCAAAGTCTATAGGGTCTTTGGATATAATTTCTCCATTTTGATGGTCTAGCATAAACTTATTTACAATATTATGTCCTAGCGATTTGAAGGAGTAGGTGATCTCTGCATTGATGCCCTCATCTTGGTCGGTGGCTGTCACCTTCAGCACAGAGGTGCCTGGGGGCATGTTCTCTTTAAGGCTGACTTTGTACATATCCTGGCTGAACACTGGTGGGTTATCATTGGCATCAATGACCTTGATTTGAATTTGAGTTGTGCCAGTCAGGACTGGGTCTCCCCCATCCACTGCTGTCAGGACCAGGAGATGGGAGCTCTGTTGTTCCCGATCCAGGGGCTTTTCCAACACTAATTCAGGGGCAATTTTGTCTTCCAACTTGCCCTTCACCATCAAAGAGAAATGTTCGTTAGAGCTGAGCTGGTAATCCTGGAGAGAGTGAGGTCCTACATCTGCATCTATAGCAGATTCCAGGCCAAACCGAGTCCCCAGAATTGCAAGTTCATTGATTTGTAGAAGAATGCTGCTCTGGGGGAAGTTGGGTGGATTATCATTTATATCCTCTATCATCACGTTTATGTGAAAAACATTTAGAGGATTTTCTGCTACAATCTCTAAGGGCACAACACACAGGGAATTCTGGGAGCAGAGCAACTCCCGATCTATTCTTTCACTCACAAGTATATTCCCATTCTCAGTGTTTATAGTAAAGTATTTTTCCTCTGCACCAATTCTAAGGTTGCGGGTCAGTAAATCCTGAACATTCAGCCCCAGGTCCTCAGCAAGGTTCCCCACCACCGAGCCCCTGGCCATTTCTTCTGGAATAGAATAGTGGATTTGCTTCCCAAGAGCTGCACAGAACAAAGGCAGCAGGAAAGGAAAGAGTACTTGCCGATAGAGGGTCCTGCTCCTTTTCTTCGCCCTATATTCCATTCTTCTTTTTGTGTTGTTGCAGCCTCGATGATAAGATAAGATGCTTCACAAATTGCTTTAAAAATATTTATTTCCACTGCAGAGAAAACCCAATGCTCCTAGTTTGAGTGTATCCCAATCTCAACGGATTCTTGCCTAAAACAAAACACAAGTCCCGGCCACTCTCCTTTCACCCTGGCTTCTGTGACTACGCAGAATACCACTCTGGGTGGATCTCAGGATCCAGCTCTTGCAGCAAATTGGCCAACAGCGACACTCAGAGTCTATTTAGAAAACAGCAGTCCGAAGCCTTTGCAAATTTAATGGGATTTGGATTTCCAACAGATAAATTAGATGGATATATAGGGAACTTGGTGAATTTTGGATGTGTTTATTTTCCAGTGTTTATTATAAAGGAGGTTTCTTGGAGATGGGCTTATACAGTAGAGATATAGGCTCATATAGTAATAAGAGGTTAACAGTTGGTCTTTTTCTAATCAGAGGAAATGCACATGTTAGAAGAGAACGAGGCAAAAATCTTTTCTCCAAATGAAGGAACGACTGAGATACTCACAACACTCCAGCATTTTTCTTGACTTCAAGACTAATTTAGGCATCTGTCAGAAGAATTCCCTTTCTACAATTGATCCCTTCCCCAAACACTAGGTACTCGACTAACAGTTAATTATATTAAGGCCAACTTCTAAATGTAAAACATAAACTTGAAAGGGAACATTAATGCACAAATATCTAGAAATTATGTGAGAGTACTGAATTTAATTGATGATGAAAATGATTCCTGTGATCAGATACCCTAAGTAAGTCTCCATTTTCATACTTGGTTTTTCTAGGCATTGCTTTAGATAACATATATATCATTAAATAACTATCAAAGTGTCAATAAAAAGTTGTTTCTCAAACAGTAATTGAGTATAATTATATAGAATACAAAATGAATTTATGAAGGAAAGAAAGCAAGAACCCATACTTCCTAGATAGTTTGAAAAGGAACAAAAAATACCCAGAAGAATACCAGTTAAATCAGTCTCTTTGTGTGTGCTGGGATTGAATCCAGGGCCTTGGGCATGCTAAACACATGCTCTACTGCTGAGCTAAACCACAGAGCTTAACCCCTAAATCAATCTCTTATGAAGTCTAAATACCTACTCAATCTCTTACATAACTCAGAAACTATTCTATATAAATAAATCTGAAAATAAATCTTTTAACAGATTTGAAAATAACTTTTTGAGAAGCACTGGATCAAAATTTTATCATATGTGAACTTACTACATTAAAAAGTCTTCTACACAGACAGTAAAGAACAAAAGGAAATAATACCAGTTCAATGATTTGATTATTTCTTGAGAACAATCTATTGACTTCATCATAGTAATAAAAAAGATATCTGGAACTTAAGGGAAAAAAGTTCTACATTTCCTCTACCAAGCAAGTTCAATAATTAAAACTACTCAAATCTATCTTGATAGGATGAAGCAATGAGGCAAAGTTGAAAGAGTCTATACAATCTAAATATATTATCAATCATCAAAAAGCAAAATAGAATTGCTTTATGCTTAGAAAAATGGTTACATGTATAAGTGTGCATATGAATAGAACAGAAGAAACAAGCTATTGAATCAATATGGTTAACTTTGACATTAGAAGTAATAGCAAATAATGATAGAATATAACTGTAATCAGTGGAGACATAGTCAAATTGGAAGACTGAAAATAAATAAAAACTGTGAATTCTTAATTTGAATTAATCAGTTTACATTGATAGCCACAGACAATGATGATAGAAAAATAATACTAAAATTCAACTTAACTACAAAGTAAGCCAAGATGAATTAGACCTTTGAAATAAAAAGAAAATATGCCAGTACTAAAAAAAAAAAAATGACTTCCACAAAGTCTTTGTGCAAAATGATGGAAAATCTGATGAAAGGTAAAGTACAAGAACTCATGAATATTCTAAATATGTATGAACTTTCACCTGCCCTAAACCCAGTTTTCTTAACAGGCTCTGAAAAATTCCCCTTAAAACACTTGTACCAACGCATTAACAATTGAGTAGAATAAATCTCACCTGATTGTTTGTTGGGTCATATTTGCCTAAAACAGTAGCTGAGTCTTCAGCTATCAAGAGAGGCTCGCTTTTCTCACAGCTCTCCTGGCTGATGAGCGTGTCTGCATAGTTGGGCTGTGGGAAGATCAAGTGGCTCTTCCGAGAGTCAGCAGTGAGGGACACCTCATGGGAATAGGTCTGTAGGAAGGCATGCACCCCCTCAACACCCACAAAGTGAGAGGCGGGCGTGCCCCCTAACCTGCTGCCTGCTCCCTGGAGCAAACGTGAGGAATGCCAGTGCCTCAGTCTGAGTGCCAGCAACACAATGACAAAGATGAGGAAGATGCAGGAGACCGCTGTGATGGCCACAACTAGGTAGAGTGTGAGGCCTGATTCATCTGGGTTGGTGGAAGACTCCAGACTGCCCAAGTCGGCCAGGACTTCTGGGATACTGTCAGCCACTGCCACTGTGAGCGTCACAGTGGCTGAGAGAGGAGGTTGACCATGGTCCTGGACGGCCACCACGAGGCTCTGCTTGAGTGCATCTTTGTCCAGTAGGTTCCGGGCAGTGCGCACCTCACCTGTGTGCAGCCCCACGGTGAAGAGCCCAGGCTCGCTGGTTTTGAGCAGGCGGTAGGACAGCCAAGCATTCTGTCCTGAGTCTCTATCCACTGCCACCACTTTGGTCACCAGGTATCCAGGCTCTGCAGATCGGGGTGCTAACTCCACCCCAGTGGAACCATCAGTGGGGAGGATGGGATACAAGATCTCAGGAATGTTGTCATTCTGGTCCAGTATGAACAGATTCACTGACACATTGCTGCTGAGTGGTGGGTCCCCGCTATCACATGCAGTCACTCTCAGTTGTAGGTTTTGGAACTGCTCATAGTCAAAAGAGCGCAATGCATACAGCACCCCAGTATCCGAGTTGATAGATACATAGGAGGACTGAGGTGCCCCTTGGATCATGTCTTCTGTGAGAGAATAAGTGACCTGGGCATTCTCTTTGCTATCTGGGTCAAGAGCGGTCACTGAGAAAATGGAGGATCCTCTAGGATTGTTTTCAGAAACATAGGTAGAGTAAGAAGAGTGAGTGAAGACTGGAGGGTTATCGTTCTTGTCTCCCACATTCAGTAAGAGGTGAATTTCTGTAGATAGGGATGGACTTCCTTGGTCTTTGGCTGTCAATGTTATGTTATAGCTCTGGACTTGTTCTCTGTCCAGCTCGCTGTTTGTTATTAACTTGTAATAATTTCCATAAGTTTTTTCTAACTTAAAAGGGAGATTGTTAGGAATGAAACAGGAGACCTGACCATTTTCTCCAGAATCTTGATCTTGCACATTTAGAAGAGCAATTACTGTTCCTGGAGGCGAATTTTCCAACACCGAATCAATAGAAGAGGTGATAGTTATTTCTGGAGCATTATCATTCACATCCAAAACTGTAACGAACATCTTAGCAGTGGTCAAGAAACCGCCACCATCTTGGCCTTGAATTTCCATCTCATAGTACCTATATTTTTCAAAATCCAGAGGCCCTTGTACTAGAACTTCGCCAGTTTGAGAATTCAACTGGAATATTTCAGAAGCTTTGCTTTCTGTATTCTGGAACGAATACATCACTTCCCCGTTGAGACCCTCATCTGGATCCGTTGCATTAACCACTAGCACTCGAGTTCCAGAGCTGAGGTTTTCAGGAACACTCACTCTATACACAGACTGAGTAAACTTTGGGATGTGGTCATTTACATCCAGGACCACCACGCGAATGGGAACTGAGCCCTTGCGGATGGGATCGCCTCCATCTAAGGCTGTGAGGAGGAGGAGGTGAGCCGCCTCTTTCTCCCGGTCCAGACCTCGCTCCAGCACCAGTTCCGGATTCTTGGCCCCATCAGTTCCGCCTCTCATTTGCAAGGAAAAGTAACTATTGGGGCTGAGTTGGTAGCTCTGGAGAGAGTTCACTCCCACATCTGGATCCCTAGCGTTAGGTAGAGGAAATCTCGATCCAGGAGCTGCGTGCTCACTGACTTTTATCTCTATTTCCTCTTCCCGAAAGCTGGGAGCATTATCATTAACATCCATTATTTCTACCTCCACTCCATAAATCTTCAGGGTGTCCTCCACAAGAATCTCCATATTTAAAAAGCAGGAGGAAACCGTTTCACAGAGCTCCTCCCGGTCTATCCTACCCGCGGTGATCAAGCTGCCACCTCGCGGATTCAGAGCGAAAAGCTGCGTCTTCCCCGGGGAGACGATGCGGACTCCGCGGTCGATCAGCTCCCGGGGCTCCAACCCTAGGTCCTTGGAGATGTTGCCCACGAAGAAGCCTTTGTCCACCTCTTCTAGCACAGAGTATCGGACGTGTCCGGCTCCAGATTCCCGCAGCGTCCCCAGGAAAATACACAGCAGCACCAGCGCGCTGCGTTCCAGGCTCTGGGGCGGATTCGCCATGGCCGGGATCGAGCCGATAATCCGTAGTGTCTAGAGCGGGTTTGTTCTGAATCAGCTTACGTGTCTGTCCACGAGGTCCCAGGCCGTCCGCATCCAAAATATATTAGAAAGCGAAGGAAAGTGCTTTTAAGTTTCCAGCATCAGGATCTGTGAGTATCCATCTTATTCTGCTTTGTGTAGTAGAGGTCGGGGAAGGGGCTCAATTAGCTCGCAGCCTCCCATTCCCTGGTTGGTGAACAGCGGCGCCTAGAGCCCACTTTTATTATTGCAACCACTAAGAAAAACTGATGTGCCCGTTCCAGAAGAAATTGTTAACACTTACCTCTGTGAATCATACGTATTTATGAAGTTTAAAACCGCAAAAATAGTTATGTAATGAGATGCTAAATGTTTACCAAAAGCACTTATGAAAGAAATGATTATTAAAAGAACTTGTTCAATTTTTAAAAATTTCAAATACTACCGGGACTGAAAACTTCGTTCTAATTAATTTTACTGACTGAAGGGAGCAGGCATTTGTGGACATGGAGATAGCATGGTCCCCACAAAATTATCAAGTAGAAGGAATGACTAATTCTTACCATTTTTGTGAGTATAATAAAGATAAAACTTTTGATAAAATTTAAACAGCATTAGGGTTGATATTTAAAATACCATGATAAAATATAACTAAAAGGTACATTCATGAATATTTCCTCTGAGATTTCTTGTTTATATGTGGGGAGTGTTGGGAATGGAACATAGGGAGCGACACCCCCAACCCTTAATAATTTTACTATAAAATACCTTTGTATGGTAGGAGGATTTTGAAGCATTGAAAATTTTTCTTTCTAACGGTAATACCCAAAGGTTTGACCTAGATTTATCTTAAGACCTTCACCAAAATATTATCTAAAATCATGAAATAGTACTATATTGTGTTACACTGGCATATTGAAATATAAAAAGCGTCATTTTAAATACCTGGTCAAGCGTGTTCTTCTCTGCTTCAACACCAGGAGGTAAAATGCTAGCCAATAACACTGAAGAGCTATCTTTGTTGAGAATATCTTGTACCGCAGGAAAATTATTAACAGAAGTAAGAAAATTAAATTCCGGGTTAGTTTGATCCCCGTGCCCACGCATATTGCAGGCATAGGGCAACGTTCCATCGCTGTAATTGGGGGGCAGCACGGGTCCAGACTTTGAGCAGAAAACTGATCCAAAGCAGCCTCTGGCTATAGGGTTGGAATACTGCCTCAAACGCAAAGAAATAGCCAGAATCACTGCGAGAAGGAAGAGCACCGAGATCAAGGCCAAAGCCACAACCAGGTAAAACTGCAGCTCTGCCTGAGGATCAGAGGGAATAGGGTGGTCTGCGATGTCCGGCAGAGCCTCCTGTAGGCTATCAGCGAATATTAAGAGCAGCGTGGCGGTCGCTGAGAGGGGCGGCTGTCCACCATCACGCACAGCGACTAGCAGGCGGTGGCGGGATGCATCTTTGTCGTTCAGGGGACGCACAGTGCGCACCTCGCCCGTGCGTAGTCCCAGGCTGAAAAGCCCGGGATCCGTCGCCTGCAATAAATGGTAAGAGAGCCAAGCATTGTGACCTGCGTCAGCGTCAACCGCCACCACTTTGGTGACCAGGTAATCGGGCTGTGCGGCTCGAGGAACCGTATCGAACAGCGCGGAACCGTCGGGCCCCAGCGCCGGGTACAATACTCGAGGAGCGTTGTCATTGCGGTCATCCACCAACACGCGCAGACTCACGTTGGTGCTGAGAGCCGGCAAGCCCTGGTCTCGCGCCTGTATCGTCAGCTCGAAGGCTCTCAGCTGCTCGTGGTCAAAGGAGCGCTGCGCGAACACCACGCCGCTCTGCGCGTTCACCGACACATAGGACGACAATGTTTTGGGTTCCAGGTCGCTGGCAATGATAGAGTAGGAGACTTGGCCATTGGGTCCCAGATCTGGATCCCACGCTCCGACCTGGGTTATGGAGGCCCGGGGCTGGTTGTTTTCTGGTACATGGACCAGGTAGGTGGACTTTTGGAAAATGGGAGCGTTGTCATTCACATCAGTGATGTGCAGGGTGAAGGTTATGTCGGACGAGAGAGGTGGTTTGCCTTTGTCAGTGGCTGTGATGGTAAGGTTGTATGCTGGGGTCTGCTCCCGGTCCAGGGCCCCATCTGTTACTAACTTGTAGTAATTGTTGGAAGAAGAACGTATCTTAAATGGACCGTTTCTACTTAAACTACAAGTGACTTCTGCGTTTTCCCCTGAATCTCGGTCCCGTGTTTTGAAGAGGGCCACAACCATTCCACGAGGGGAATCCTCCAAAATCTGATCAGATAAAGAAGTGATTATTATTTCTGGGCTGTTGTCATTTTCATCTAGAACCTCTATGATTATTTTACACTGTGTAGAGAGAGATCCTCGGTCCTTTACTTCTACATTCATTGTGTATCTTTCTACTTCTTCAAAATCCAAGGGCTGGTGAGTTACAATGTTTCCAGTACTGGAATCCAAATAGAACACACGTTGGGCTTTGACAGCCACTCCAAGGAAAGAGTAGGTGAACTCTGCATTGATGCCCTCATCCGGATCAGTGGCCATCACCCTTAGAACTGAGGTGCCTGGAGGCACGTCTTCCCGGAGGCTAACCCTATAAACGTCCTGGCTAAACACAGGAGGGTTATCATTGGCATCTACCACTATGATTCTAATCTGAATAGTACCACTTAGGGGTGGGTTCCCACCGTCTAAGGCTGTCAGCACCAGGTGGTGAGTGCTTTGTGTTTCTCGATCCAGGGTCTTCTGCAGTAATAATTCTGGATATTTGTCGCCATCAGGATTATCTTTCACCACTAATGAGAAATACTCATTCAGACCAAGTTGGTATTTGTTCAGTGAATTCATACCAATATCAGGGTCTTCTGCAGACTCAAGAATTGTTCCCATTCCCGGGCTGACGGATTCACTTATTTCTAAGATTATTTCATCTTTTAGGAATTGAGGAGCATGGTCATTAATATCCTCAATCATCACAACGACATGAAAAATATTTAAAGGATTTTCCACCACAGCTTCCAACTGCAGCTCACATCTTCTCCTCTCTTTGCATATCTGCTCCCGGTCTATTCGGTCTTTCACAAGCAAGTCCCCACTCTGCGCGTCTACATTGAAGTGCAGCTTCTCTGCGCTAACTCGCAGCTTCCGAGCTGACACATCCAAGACACTGAGCCCCAGATCCTTGGCGAGGTTCCCCACCACCGAGCCCTTGGCTAGCTCCTCGGGAATGGAGTAGCGGATCGGCTCTCCTAGCGCCGAATAGAACAAAGGCAACAGCCAGGGAAAAAGTACCTGCCCGCGGCCGGTGCGTCGCCTCTGCGCGCAGCTCCCTCCCATCACTCACTCAATCGCTCGGGTGTTTTTCCACTGGATCCCCCACTTCGCAGCTGGGAGAGAAAGTTATCTACCACGCTGGAAGAGTATTCGGTCCAGGACAGGCGGAGCCCAGTTTCGGGGATGGGAATCTGTGCGTGTATTCTCCAGGAGTGAGAGGGGTTGCTTCTGTGTGTTGGTGGCTGCGCAGGAAATCCCAGGCAAGAGACTGAGGGATCCCGGGCGTTGGAGCTTGCTCTGCACTGGCCGACAGCGGCGCCCAGAGGCTGCGTGTGGAACTGCAGCCTGGCTTTTCTATTAGGGAATCTTCGATTTTTCAAAGTATAAGTTTATAACCAAAATATTTGAATCTCATTCCTTGGTGATTCCATTTTCACCACAAAGAACTTTTACGTCATCATAAGCACATGTCTCTTTATGTATTAAAATTTATTTTGAGTTTTAAAGAAATATAGAGTGAAGTTCTATAGGAGGTCTATAGGTCTTCTAACCCATGGCCCATTGCCACTGAATTCCACCATTCAGAGATAATTACTATTGCTCTTTTTAAGAATAATTACCGATAAAATGGGAAGTACTGATGATAAGCAAAAAGTTTTTGTCTTTTATCCTAGCTTTTATTCAGTCAGAAACTAATAACCCTTCCTTCCACATTTAGATATTAGAATGTAACCATTGGCAATCATCTAGGATATTCTGTATTGCTTTTAAAATAATTATATTAAAAAATTTTGCTTATAATAGATACAATGTCAAAAATGTATTTTTCAACCTGTATTTTTTCAAAATGGTAGAATTACTTAGATGGATGCATAGTAATTTGACTCCCATGGACAGAAACTTAATAGCTTCAATTATTTTACAGTTAATAATTATTACCCTAGAGAGTGTGCTCATCTTCCCACAGACCTATAATTAACCAAATGCTGATTGACACAAAAAAGTCATGGTCTCATAAATAATTGAGACACTTTAGAACATTCTGATTTTTATGACATCAAGTTAGCAGAGTATTAGTAATTAAAGAGAGTGAACAAAATACATCATTATCTTTTTTTTTTTGTAGTTGGGGTTGAAACCAGGAGTGCTATACCCTGAGCTACATCCCAGTCCTATTCATTTATTTATTTTTGAGATAGATACTAAGTTGCTTAGGGTCTCACTAAATTGCTGAGGCTTGCCTTGAACTTGTGATCTTTATCCCTCAATCTCCCGAGTCACTGGGATTAGAGGCATGTATTATCACACCCAGCTTATATCACGGACTTAAATGTGCTAATTAATTCATCCACTGATCATTTGTTTGGAAGAATTTTGTGTACTTCTTTGCTTATTTTCTGGTATCCTGAAAAAAATGACATTTCTCTCTTTACTCTTATTTTGACTCTGAATTTGTTTCAGAGTTTCAGATATGTTTAACTTCCTCTACATTAACAAGTCCTACCTTGTTAATGAAATACCCTTGTCAACATAGCTTTTACTCCTGTTCTTGGGAACATGTACAAATTTGTCTCTCCTCAAACCATATTTATTTTTACCCTTAATGATTGGGATGTCTAATTTTAAAAAGAAAAGAGAATAGAACCACAAATCTTCTCTATTTAACCCACTATAGACTCTTTAGAATCCCTCTTGAGTAAGGAGAGTCAAATTAAGAGGTATATCTTCCACACAGCAACATGAAATTAGAGAATCAAATGCAAAAAGATGCCAAAGTCTTAACAGGTTTGATTTTAGTTGGAAAAACCTAAATACACATTGTTATGAATTTTAACTGAATATTAAGAAAACTTTAAATCTTTAAGGACTGTATTCAACTATAACTGTTACTACAAGTATAGTTTGGAAAACATAATTGCAAAGGCACATTGTCCTTCTCCCTGGGAAGAACAATGCTGAATAACCTTGGGCTTGGCTTATGTTTCCAGTTAGGGTAATGCATTTGTTTCTGACATTTACCTATTTTTACCAGACCTGCATTCAAATCAAGAGCTTGAGTTGTCTAAAGAGCCAGGTTTTCAGCTTCTGGCCACTGAGGAAAACACACAAATTGAAAAGCATTTTGTATAGAAGTCTGACTTAGAAATTTTCAGTATTACACTCAACAACACTATAAAATTTAAGTTCCTGCAAAGCTAATCATAACAAACTTATGATACTATGTCTTTGCTGATGAGTCTTACTCATCAAATTCTACTTTTAATGTTTTAGCAAGAGACCAGTATCACTGAATCTGAGAGAAAAGTAATTAAAAATAAAGATTTAAATTTTACATCACTGTACTGAAAACCTAAAGGTAAAAATCAACCATAATTGCTTAAAGGAAAGCAAAAGTAAAAATAGAACTCACTGGAACCAAAGGAGTATCTTCTATAGGAAACTTTGAATCATCTAACAAAGACAAAGGATCCTTTTTCTCACAGCTCTCCTGGCTGATAAGCGTGTCTGCATAGTTGGGCTGGGGAAAGATAATGTGGCTCTTCCGTGAGTCTGCAGTCAGGGAGACCTCATGGGAATAGGTCTGCAGGAAAGTGCGCACCCCATCCACATCCACAAAGTGAGAGGTATGCACACCTGCTAACCCTCCACCTGCTGTCTGGAGCAGGTGAGACTTGTGCCAACGCCAAAGTCTGAGTGCCAGCAGCAGGATGATGAAGGTGAGAAAAAGACAGGAGACAGCAGCTAAGGCCACCACCAGGTACAGAGTGAGGCCTGAAGCATCATGGTCATGTGGGGGTTCAAGGCTGCTTAAGTCAGCCAAAACATCTGGAATGCTGTCAGCTACAGCCACAGTGAGGGTGATGGTGGATGAGAGTGGTGGCTGGCCGTGGTCCTGCACAACCACCACAAGGCTCTGCTTGAGAGCATCTCTGTCTAGCAGGGCCCTTGCTGTGCGCACTTCACCAGTATGCAGCCCCACCACAAAAAGCCCTGGCTCACTGGCCTTGAGCAGGCGGTAGGACAGCCAGGCATTCTGTCCTGAGTCTCTGTCCACTGCCACCACTTTGGTCACTAGGTATCCAGGCTCTGCAGAGCGGGGTGCCAGCTCTACCCCAGTGGAGCCATCAGTGGGAAGGGTAGGGTACAGGATCTCAGGAGTGTTGTCATTCATGTCCAGCACGAATAGGCTCAGAGACACATTGCTGCTGAGTGGTGGGTTCCCACTGTCACTGGCAATTACTTGCATCTTTAGCTCACGAAATTGTTCATAGTCAAAGGATCGTAGTGCATACAGGATGCCAGTGTCTGAATTAATAGATACATAGGAGGATAGTGGTGCCCCTTGGATGGTGTCTTCAGTCAGGGAGTAAATGACCTGGGCATTCTCTTTGCTGTCTGGATCAAGGGCTGTCACTGAAAAGATGGAGGCACCCCTAGGGTTGTTCTCTGGGATATAGGTAAAGTAGGAAATGTGAGAGAAGGTTGGTGGGTTGTCGTTGATATCTGCCACTTGCAGGGTAAAGTGAGTTTCAGTTGACAGAGGTGGACTCCCACCATCTGTGGCTGTTACTGTGATGTTGTAAAAGGATACCTGTTCCCGGTCAAGGGCTCGGTGTGTCACCAATCTGTAATAACTGTCAATAGACTTTTCTAACTTAAATGGTAGATTACTTGAGATGGAACAGGTTACCTCTCCATTCTGCCCAGAGTCTAAATCATGCACGTTTAAAAGGGCTATGACAGTTCCCAGAGGTGAATCTTCAGTCACTGGACTAAACAGAGATGTGATGGTTACCTCTGGACTGTTGTCATTTATATCTTCTATGGTAATCAACACTTTTGCAGTTGCAATATATGCTCCTCCATCTTCTGCCTGTATTTCTATTTCATAGAAGCTTGTTTCTTCATAATCTAAAATTTCAGATATTTTAATTTCCCCAGTATTTTTGTTTAGTTGGAATTTTGACAATTGTATGTCAGGTAATTTTCGAAAGGAATAGGTTACTTCTCCATTGGCTCCTTCATCCTTGTCAGTGGCGGTGACCGTTAGCAACTGAGTGCCTACAGGCAAATTCTCTGGAACATTTAATCGATACTCTGGCAAAGTGAATATCGGTGCATTGTCATTTGCATCAAATACAGTCACAGTGACGAGGACAGTGCCTGATCTGAGAGGGTTACCTCCGTCAGAAGCAGTGAGAACCATATGGTGAATGGCCTCTTCTTCTCGATCTAGGGCGTGCTCTAGCACCAGCTCTGGGTACTTGACGCCATTGGCACGACTCTGAACTCCTAGTGAGAAATGCTTATTGGGGCTGAGCTGGTAACTCTGCAGTGAGTTCACGCCCACATCCGGATCAATAGCTTCCGGGAGAGGAAAACGCATTCCTGGAGCGACGTTTTCATTAATCTTTACGTCCAGATTTTCTGCTTGGAATTTTGGGGCATTATCATTGATATCCGTTACTTCTATTTCTATCCCGAAAAGTTTCACCCTATCTTCCAAAAGGATGTTAAAATTCACCAAACACCGTGCGCTCTGAGCGCATAGTTCCTCCCGGTCTATCCTTTCCTTTGTGACCAAGCTGCCGCTTCGCGGGTTCAAAGAGAAAAGCTGCGTCCTACCTCTGGAGACGATGCGGACTCCGCGCTCCGCTAGCTCCCGGGGCTCCAGTCCCAGGTCCTTGGAGATGTTACCCACGAAAGAGCCTTTCTCTAACTCCTCAGGAACGGAATAGCGGATCTGCCGGGCTCCGGACTCCCAGGGCATCTGCAGGTAAAGGCAGAGGAGGACCAGCTTGGTGTGGTCGGAGAGCTTCCTCACAGCAGCCATTGTTGTCTGGTCACGAAATTCTCCTGAAGTCCTCCCGGGACCCTCTGTATATTTCAACTGGTTCCTTGTTCTTTCTGTGACGGCAGGGATTCTCTGTAGCCTGCGCACCTTAAATTCCGGAGTGAGTTTCTGTTGCAGCCCAGGAGCCAGTTTGTAGGAATTGTGGGGGCTTTGTGCAGTTGGAGATGTGAGAATACCGACTGAGTGCTTGCTGTGATTCTCTCCAAGTAGGTGAACAGCGGCGCTCAGAGTCCTAAGAAGTTACTGCACCCACTAGTGTACATATTAGCAAACGCTACTGTATCTCTGTTGGATATATTGATTCTTTTATTCTTTGTTTTTTCTGTTGGTATCATTTCCCGCTGCCCCCCACCCCGCCCATGGACTCGAACACAGGGTATACATACTAGACAAGTGCTCTATTTCTGCTCCGCTTATATCTTTAATCAATCTCTATTTATAGGTTTGTTAATGGGGTTGAGATAAAGTAGAATGAAAATACTATAGCATACTATACGATGTTTGGCTAATATATAGTTGCAAAACATTATCCCACTTTTAAAAAATGTAAGGTATAACCCACTTCAAAATTTAATTAATGCTTTTTAATGTCTTATGAAATCAGTTACATTCAGAAAAACCTTACAATTTTACTTGAAGTTGTGACTTAAATGGTTCAATTATGTTTAGTACACATGCATATAAAGACTATTATACTTCTTGTGAGATAATTGACTTTGAAAGTTATTTTTTAAATTTTAGATTTAGTTAATTTGTTTAGCTTAAGACTGTGTGAGAGGTTGCCAAAAATTCTCCTTATTTCTCTTTCTTCTTCTTCTCCTCTTCCTCCTCTTCCTCCTCCTCCTCCTCCTCCTCTTCTTCTTTCTC